TGTTGCTGTATTCCTTGCAGTGCTTAGCAGAATAGACTGTTCAAAATATCTCTTCTCTAATAAAGACATTTCCATACCCTGTTTGGAACACAGCTTCTGCAAAGTCTATTGAAAAGTGACAAAGTCCCAATTTGCCAAATGGAAAGAACTTCCAAAATGTATCTCAAAGAGGAGAAAATGGAAAACTGCCACCTTCATCTAGTCAATCCAATCAAGAAAAATGGGGACTTTATCTAGTAGACAGTAATCACAAAAATAGAAGGGAAAAAAAAGGAGGAAGGAAGAAAAGAAAGGGCTGTATTCCCAAGTCTGTGAAATTGAAAGGCTTCTGGACTAATTTTCTGGTAGGTAGCCCCACCTACCCTAATGTAGAAGTTTTACAAACAGGAGGTACTAAGTTGATCTGATAACCAAAAAACCTTCCGAAGAATGAATGCAGCCTCAACTGGAAGAATTTCTCACCCATCTTCAACTCCCTAGAGCTGGCATTGCCCCTAACTTTCTGTTTGTCTCTAAACAGTGCTGGGGAAGCCTCCTCTGTCAGTGACCAACCCATGTTGTCATGGAATTTCAGAACAAACCACGTGGTTTTCTGTGGTTGCCTTTTGGTCTGACTTCCTGCTTTTATAGCATTTGACAAATCTTAGTTCCTCAAAAATAAATACTTAAGTACTCTCAGCTAGAATAATTTTTGTTAATGTGAAAGAACAAACAGTAATATATACATAACTACTCTCTTTTTATAGATTTACCTGATATTCTAAGGTTTCTAGAACTAAAAAACATTTGAATTATCTGTTCTATCTCTGCAGAAATGTTTTCTCAATAGGAAGTAAAAAAGATCATTATCACACACACACACACACACACACACACACACACACACACACACACAAAGCAAGCACCACCTTCTGCCTCTTCTTCCTAATTTCTAAAAGGGCTCACTGAAAAGAAAAAAAGCCAGGCACAGTGGTTCGCTCTTGTAATCCCAGCACTCTGGGATTTGACTGAGGCAGGTGGATCATTTGTGGTCAGGAGTTCAAGGCCAGCCTGACCAATATGGTGAAACTCCGTCTCTACTAAAAATACAAAAAAATTAGCAGGGTGTAGTGGCACATGCCTGTAGTCCCAGCTACTTGGGAGGCTAAAGCATAAGAATCGCTTGAACCTGAGAGGCAGAGGTTGCAGTGAGCTGATTGTGCCACTACACTCCAGCTTGGGCAACAGAGTGAGACTCCGTCTCAAAAAAAAAAAATAGAAAAATTGGGTGAAAAAAATGCCATGCACAAATAAAAACTACACAAGTTTAGCTACAAAAAAACCTTTTTCATCATAACTTTTTTCTGAAAAGAACATGTACAGTGATTCCATTGAATTCTCCCTTCTGCAAAATATCTAAGTAAATGTGTCGCTAGGTGTCAAACTCTAAACAATCACAGCAAATTCAAAGCCACATTCTCCCCAAAGGAAGCCCATATGCCTTTACCTGTCACATTGCTGCATTATAGAGATTTCTTTGATTATCTCCTGCAGGTCTGATTCCACAGGAACTTGCTTAATAGCAACAATCTGACCAGTCTCTTTATGAATAGCTTTGTATACACTGCCATAAGACCTATAAAATTGGGAGAAGAACATTTATAAACTCAAAGCAAGCCAAGATATAAGAAGTGGTAAAACACAAGCAACTGATAGTTCTAATGCATATCCCTAAGTGCCTAATACATATACACTTGCAAAACTAAAATAGCTAAAATATTTTGAGGGGGAAAAACTGTCACGAGAACTACAACGAAATGGCATCTTGAAAGCTTCACATTCAAAGCATATGTTCTCTGAAACCAAAGCATATGTTCTCTCCACATCTATACTGGGATACAATATGGAAGTGGCAGTCTTTGTTTTATTGCATTCACTCTGGTACCTACCACAAGATCTTTCTGTCCTTGCTCCTCTTACTTAAAATAATTCTTAAAATATTATGGGAACTAATTAAAATCTAAGCCTGTTTAATGTCAGTATCAGGTAAACACAGCACACACACACACTCTTTGCTTCCTACTCCATCTTCCCTTAACAGCTTAGTACCAAAATAAAGTTTATGTATCTAGTCAATTTGGAGACTATAAGACCACTAGATGTAGAATGTAAAGACACTGGATTTGAGTCTTACCAACAATACATTTTAGTTATCATTTATAGACACATTATTAACCTTGTTGTACCTGAATTTTCTCAACTGTAAAATGACAACAATACAAACTACCTTATAAGATATGATGTTATCTCATTTGTGATGGTCAAATGAGATACCATCATCACTTTATATAGATTACATTTTCACTGGAATCCTGGGCAGCTGTCAGTGAAATAATACTGAGTAAATTGTCTTTCATAGTTCCCAAACACACCTGTATCTTCATACTGTCTTGGTGAAAAAAAATCAAAATAACAGTGCCACCTACTATGTCAAAGTAGTGAAATACTCTAACTGCCAAACAGATGCTCAAGAACTGTTACAATGTGAAAGGAACATAAAACTTTTTAAGTCTATGCAGAGCACATAAAAAAATTTCCATTCCATTAGAAGCTGTCATTCTTGTAAAACTAGCACAATGATCCTTAAATATGGAACCAAATACTTTTTGCCAGAGAGAGCCTCCTGCGGAGCATGTGTGAAGGACACAATCACTGTCCCGTCTTCCTTGCTAAAATAACCCTCTAATTTGTAACGGTGGTGATGTGCTTGGTCCCAGAAGATATACTATGATAGTCCAAGCCAATCACAGAATTCCTATTTCCTTCTGCCAGTGACTGAACTAGTGATAAACATGTCACCCAGTTCTGGCCAAAGAAATCTGAAGGTAATTCTGCTGAAGGGTTTCTGGGAAAGACTTTCTTCCCTGGTAGGAGACAAGCACACAAGAGTGCCCATCTCCACTTGCCCCTTTCTTTCTTACTTTTGTTAATGCCATGAGAGGGATGATGCTTAAAACTAATGCAGCCATTTGAGACTATGAGAATTACCCAGATGTCAAGCCATTCTCAAGCCAATTAACCACTTCTTGACTCTCACACCCCCAGATGTATTTAGTTATTAATGTCTCCATTGGTTAGCCACTGTTTGTTGGGTATTGTTACTTCCATCCAAGGGCACTTTTGATATATTAGCTCCTGTATGTCTGAAACTGTCTTTATTTCACCTTCACTCTGGAATGATAGTTTGATTGGATACCAGATTCTCTGACAACTTTCCCTCAGCACTGTTACTGCAGTGTTCCAACATCTATTCTGGCTGAGAAGTCTGCTTTCATTAGATTATCACTGTCCATGGGTAATCTCTCCATAGTTTTTAAGGTGTCCTCTTTATCCATAACAGTCTACTATTGTACTGTAACATAACTAGTAGTTGATCTGGCACTTCATACACTTCTTCAATCTGAGGGCTCATGTCTTTCCTCAAGAATGAAAAATTCTCAGCATTATTCTTTGATTATTTCCTCTATCACTTCTAGGATCTTCTTCTAGAATTCCTACTGAAACTGTATTTGACCTCCTCAATCTATGTTGTCTTCCTGGTTTCCAAAATTGTATTTCTCTCTTCTGCATTTTGTGATCAGTCTCATTTCTATCTTTCAATTCACAAATTCTTTCAGTCTGTTTAGTTTACTGTTCATCCAATTTATTGGGCTTTTAGAACTTCAATTGTTGTAGTTTTCATTGTCAAGATTCCCAACATTTTATTTGCCTTTGGGCAAATGTGTTAATAATCATGTTAATAATCTGATGTTCTTATCCCCTCCTTGATCTTTTTGAAAATTATAATCATATTAAAGCACTTTTGAGACTGCTCCTCCATTATTTCTTTTTTCTTCAATGTGAATTCTCCCATTCTGTGGAATTTCTCATGGCAGTGGATTTCCTTGTATGGATTTCATTTTATCTTGAATGATTTTCCTCTATATAATACTCACTGTCAGATGGTTTCATGGTTCCCTTAGTATAGTCGTCTGGGCTGTACAACTTAAACGAGGTCTTATCTTCAGAGTTTGGGGATTTTGCCCTTCAAGATACCATACTTAAATACAATCCAAGCTCAGTTCCTATTATCGAACCAGTATATCCACTTTTTTTCCCTAGGCCACAGGCAAATGACACTTTCTGATGGCAGTCAAGCAAATTTATTTCAGCTTTAGTTCATAGGTGGAGGGCTGAGATTCAGCCCCCAACTTCATGTAGGAAGCTCAAATGCAATCTTTTGACAAGGATAAGACATGCTTTAGTCTCCACTTATTATTTAGATTTCTTTCCTATCCCTTGTCCCTAGCTGTCTATATATCCTTATATTTAAAAGAATTTTCACTCATTATTCTTATGTATTAGAAAGTTCTCTGCATATACTCATTCAGCAACCTTGACCAGAACCTCCCTGGATAGCAAGGAAAACTCCAATAGCTCATAGGAAATTAAGATTCCTGGCCGGGCGCCGTGGCTCATGCCGGTAATCCCAACACTTTTTGAAGCAGAGACAGGTGGACCACCTGAGGTCAGGAGTTCAAGACCAGCCTGACCGACATGGAGAAACCCCATCTCTACTAAACATACAAAATTAGCCAGGCGTGGCGGCGTATGCCTGTAATCCCAGCTACTCGAGAGCCTGAGGCAGAAGAATCACTTGAATCTGGGAGGCAGAGGCTGCAGTGAGCCAAGATCGTGCCATTGCACTCCAACCTGGGCAACGAGAGCAAGACTCCATCTCAAATAAAAAAAAAAAGAAATCAAATGAAAAAAACCTGCACAGTCTGAACATGTACCTCAGAACTTATTATAATTTAAAAAAACACAAAAACCAGATTCTTGATTCTATGTACTGTATTTACAGTAATCTGAAGCGGGGGGTTAGAAGATTTCAACAATCACACTCACAAGCAAGTCCCTTAAAACTTGATTCCCTACAACAAAATGAGATGATTCAATGAATTACAACTGACAGCAGAGAATGGAGAAGTAGGTGTTTTACATAAGCCATGCAAGGCAAGGATCTATGTAGAAAAATGGAAATACTACAGTATCTGAGGACAAATTAACCAGGTACAAGTCTTAACAACAGTGCTCATTTTTTATGAAACCATGGGCAAGATGCTTTTGTTATCCTTCTATGATAAAAACTAAGTCAGTCTGTACAACTTTGAGAAGAAAAAAGGTGCTAGGCTCCACTTCAAAACACTTCCCAAGTGCTCTCCACTCATCCTGGTCTGGAGCTTTGACTCCACTCTGCCACAGATCCATATGATTTCCCCACAACACAGAATGACTGCAGATTCCAGAATCCAACAGTTCCTTTAGCCAGAGCTCATTTTACAAGACACAAGTCAGTAAGAGTTCACAATCCATTCATTCTCCAGAACAATTTAAGAATAGCATTGCATCGCATCACGTGTATGGAAAAGAAGTGTAGTGAAGGTCTTCCTTCAAAATATTCCTAGTTAAATGAGGCTTGCTTAGGTTCCTTCAATCAGAATGACAGAAATCCAAGAAATAACAGAAATCTGGTATCATTTAGAAGAGCAGTAAGGTGATAGCATGGGAAGAAGGATCTGAAGCTTTGTTTTCTCCCTGGTGATATCTTCACAGGGAAATTTCCACATTCCTTACAGACAACATCCATAGATCTAAAATGCAATTTGTCCAGATGCAGTGGCACACGTCTGTAATCCCAGCACTTTGGGAAGCTGAGGCAGGAGGATCACTTAAGGCCAAGAGTTGAGACCAGCCTGGGCAACACAGTGAGACCTTGTCTCTACAAAAATAAATAAATAAACAAATAAATAAAATACAATTAAAAAATCATAATTAGCTTTTTTGTTTACATTATATTCCTGATATATTCTGTGTCTATAGTTTTCCTTTGACATTCCACAAACCCAATCAGCCCAAACAGAGCTACCTGTAAGAACACCTAAATGCACTTTAAGACTTGACATGATGAGGTCTCAAAAACGCTTCAGTTGATACATTTAAAAATAGAATAGTAATAGTTGCCACTTACTGAGCATTTATTATTGTGACAAGCACTATGCTTTACCCCAGTTACCTCAGGTAACAATATAACTCTATGAATCGATATGTTATTATCCCGAATTTACAGATGAGGATTGTGAACCTCCAAAATAGTAAGCAATTTGCTCAAACTCATGTGTCTATTATGACCAATAAACAGTAAAGCAAGGATTTTAACCCACGTCTGCCTCACATTATAGTAGTAAGAGCAAATTTTATTAGAAATGAGAGAAATAAGTTAGTCACAGTCAATTATGCCTATCAGTTTTTATCTTATTCTAAGGATAACTTATGAGCATTGTTAGATTAAAGGCCATGGCCTTGCTGCCTAAGGAAAATAGCAAAGATACCAAGCTAAAGCTGAAAATGGCAGGCAACAGATGCAGAGGGACTGTCATTTCCCCATACCTTTAATAATGCCAGTCAACTGGCAGTCTTCGGATTCATCTTGGACTTGTCTTTTCACAGCACAGCTGGTGTGTCATCTTTTACTTCCCTTCTCTGCTTGATTTCTTGCTGGATTCCAAAGAGTATTTTTCCAACTTACAAAAAGACGATGACTAATGTTTTTTACAAGGAGGTAAATCATGAAAAACTACTTCATGTAATCCAGGATTGGGTTTAATGTTGTAAATCTGTGTCCTAACACAAAAAATACTAAACCCCAAAAACTATAGAAATGGGAAGGAAATGATTTTAAAGAGCATATAGTCATCAGTCAGTAGTTGTTTTTACAAGTTAGTATGTTAGGTCTTCCCTTGAACCAGAAATACTCCCAAGGGATTAAAAATAGACAGACACAGACACACACAGACACGCGCACACACACACACACACACACTTATACATGCATAACCTGTTTCTGAAAGATACACAAGAAGCCGCTACCCTGGGTGCTTCTGGGTAGCTAAGAGACAGAGGTAGGAGGAATCTTTTTTTTTTTATTGTATGCATCTTAATTTTTTTTTTAATTTTGAGTTATATGATTGTATTACCTATTCAAAAATTAACAAGAAAAACTTAAGACATGGTGTCCTTAACATTTTAATTTCCTCAACATTACAAAAGAAGGAATAAATACACAGGATTGAATTAAAAGGATATATAAAAGTATAAAAATTATGTAAACTTTATTGTATCATGAAAGTCAATGATGGTCACTGCACATTACTAATATTGCTCATCAGTGTTTTATAAACTCATTAACAAATCTGTGTTTCAAGAAATCCACTGGCTCCCAACCTGGGATTGTGGGTCTCCTAAGTAGCTGCGAAGGTGGTACTAGTCCTTGATTTCTTTATTATATTTCACAAAGGTGCAAATATTAAAATGCTAAATTCCACTAATTTTCATTGAAACAGTTATTGCATACCAATCGGAAACTATGAGCAGCAAATAAACAAATTTCTGATGGAATTATAATCGAATTAGTGTTATCTGTTAAGTAGATAAAATCATACAAACCACAGATTCTACAAAAGAGAACACAATAGAAAGTCTTTGTATTAAACAGACCAGAAATCACTAAATCTGTCTATAATAGTGATTGGGGTAGAGTGAGGAAGGACATCACAAGCTATAAATTTACCTTCCACCCCTTCTAGAGCCATGCTGAAAGGTTCATATCCTCCTGATTCTGGGGCAGGAAAAAGACTGGGACCCACTGGCCTACCACAGTTTCTTTACACTCACCCTTCTCCAAGTTTCTCTAAAACATCAAACACTTCTTCTGGTTGTTTGGTTAAACTATCTTCATCCAATTTTTTCAGCTGCCTGTGAATGAAGAAACATAAACACAAAATATATTTTATTTGCTAGCAACTAGAACATAGAATATATCATTTATTTTATAATTAGCATCCCAGGAACTTCTCTATACAGTCTTCGCTAGTAAGACTTTTTAAAGAAACAGGGTTTTACTGTTGTCCAGCCTGGTTGCAGCCGTGTACAGCTCACTGTAACCTCAAATTCCTGAGCTCAAGCAATCCTCATGCCTCAGCCTCCCAAGTGGCTGGGACTACAGGCTCCTAACACTATGCCTGGCTAATTTTTTTTCTTTTTTGGAGAAATGGAGTCTCGCTATTATGCCTATACTGGTCTCAAACTCCTGGCCTCAAGCAATGTTCTCACCTCAGCCTCCCAAAGCACTAGGATTACAGGCATAAGCCATCACACCTGGCCTGAGAGACTGTTCTAAAAGATGACACTTGTTCTGGGTCACTCTGATAAGCAAAATCAGGACCAGCATATGGAGGGATGCCAAGAGTCAATCTTTAGTTCAAGTCGTGTAAGAATTTTCTAACAATAAAAGTTGTCCTACATAATGGTTTGAACTGCCTTAAGAGGTCCCTAGGTCCCCACTACTGGAAAATGTAAACAGAAAATGAATTGTTATGTGGGCCAGACATAGTGGCTCACTCCTGTAATCCCAGCACTTTGGGAGGCCAAGGCAGGTGGATCACTTGAGGTCAGGGAATTCAAGACCAGCCTGGCCAATATGGTGAAACCCTGTCTCTACTAAAAATACAAAGCTCAGCTGGACCTGGTGACACACACCTGTAATCCCAGCTACTCAGGAGGCTGAGGCACAAGAATCACTTGAACCTGGGAGGCGGAGGTTGCAGTGAGCCAAGATTATGCTACTGTACTCCAGCCTAGATGAGAGAGACTGTATCCAAAAAAAAAAAAAAGAAGAAGAAGAAGAATTGTCATGTGGCCGAAATGCTGTAGATTCAAGCATTCGACGTATCCTTCAAAATCTACTTAAATCTTGAGATTTCATGAATTAAAATGATGTAACTATTTCTTCAGAAAAAGTGTTTAATGTAAGGTAACTATGAATTGAAACATAACTATGAATTGGACCGGAGACTAAGGAAGACATAGGAAACCTTTGCTCTCCAATTAGCAAATTTTTTTGTAATTTTGTCAAAACACATAAATTCTGTAGGTATCACAGAAACAGAAAGGGGAAAGTATACATTTAGACATGATCAAAAGTGAAAAATCACTAGGCAGCTGAGAGTTTCAAACAGTCTCACAAAAATCCTCCCATGAGTAGACACATACCTTTGACTAGTCTCAAAAATTAAAGGTACTTAGCTGCTCACAACTTCCAGATAGTTCAGATTTCTCTGACTATGCTAGACAACCATAACAAACATGCGGGTTTTTAACGCTGAGATCTCTGAAAATTATTAATGAGCTTAAAGAAGGAACTTGCCAAGAAATACGTGTGTGTGTGTGTGTGTGTGTGTGTGTGTACTCTACACAATGGCTTCCTGAAACTACAAAGAACAACAAAGAATAGAGAGCTCAGGAAATGGTGAAATATGGAAGTAGTCGCACTAGAGACTTCTTTGTAGAAAAAAGGTTTAGATTAGCTGGATAATATCAATTATTACAAGAAAAGACTTAAATACACACACACACACACACACACACACACACACACACACACACACGTACCTTCCTAAATAAAACAGGTTAAAATCAGAAGATAAAAAATAAAACAAGCCAACAAAAATCCTGACCACATCAAATGTATCTACCAATAAATGCTGATCTCAAAAGGCCAATCTTACAGAAGTTTATGAATATCAAGGGCTATGTACTAGAGAAATAGAGAACCACTCCAAGTCAAAACTGCCTTAACTTGATACAAACAAAACAAAATGATCACAGTGACCTTTGAAAATCAAAAGGTCCTAAAAATTAAATACCAATGACATCATAAAAACTCCTACCTTCAAAATGAAAAGAAATGAAGTGAAACTCCTCTTAAACTTCAGAACTGAAACTTCTATAAACTCAGAAGTCATAATGAACATCTCATATGCCAGGGGTTTTTTTGGTAAAGCCCTGAATTGTAACAATGGACAATACCTTATTTCTCAAGTATAATTAAAGTTTTATAAACAGCTTATATAAAGGAAGATCAAATATGTTTCTTTGAAGTGTTGACTCTCTGTGGTTTACAAAATGCAAAACTCACTATTTCAACTACTTCAGGGACCACATAACAAAGGAAATTGCCACTGCCATGAGAGAGACAGCTGCAAGCCTCTGATAATACTTTGACAGACAAACTTTATATGACGGCTCAGCTACATCTTTGAAACAACTATGTGGCTTTTTGCTTGTTTTTGATCTGGAGCTATTAAAAACAACTTGAACTTAAGGCACTATTACATCTCTGGTGCCTGATAACCAAGAAGTGGTCAAAATATATTTGCCAAATAGATTAACAAATGTAATGATAGGAATCAAGAATTTCATCAGCAATCTCTGTGAATTACCACAATGAAACAGAATTTCACCTAAAAAATATTACTAAATTATCAACAAATAGGATTACTATAAAAAATATTTTGGTAAGTGACTCATAATGATATTTTATACCATGACTCTTACAGAACAAACACTATTACCAAAACAGTCTGACTCTGATAACACAGTTCTCTTACCTGGGACTTCCTCAGGTCCTAGACAGTCTCCAACTTGCTCATAAATGAACAAGCCTGGTCAACAGAGCATCCATGGACCAAATACTGGTGGATGCTCCTCTCCTAAGTCAGATGGCCACGTGGATGGCCAGCATCCCAGGAATGCACCCTACACCTTCCACTATACCATTATCTAATAACAACTCACTTTTTAAAATCGTAAATTCCTATATGAGACACCAATCTGTCATCATTCACTTAATCACACACACACAAATGTCAAACTCATGAACACAAAAGGCATTTCCTGCACTGGGGTTGTTGGAAACACATGCTATCTGAATTTCTGAAAGACCCCGATATCTTTCCAAACACAAGTAATGGTGTCTATGAAGTAGTCACAGGTTTGGCTAATTCTCAAAGCTTTCTCCCATTTCAGAACTCCCATAAAGTTCATTTTATGTATAACTATCTCTTTTTCCACACAGAATTTGATATGGATTACAACAAATATATATGATAAGCTGACAAAATTTTTAATGATAATAAAACTGTGTCCCCAGCTTAACCCAACTCATATGAGTCCTAACACCCACCACTTCAGAATGTGACTATATTTGAAGATAAGGCCTTTAAAGAGGTAATTAAGATAAAATGAGGTCACATGGGCATGCCCTAATCCAATATGACGAGTGTCCCTATAAGAGGAGATTAGGACACAGACATGTATGGAGGGAAGAACATGGAGACGCAGGGAGATGGCCATCTACGAGTCAAGCAAAGGCCTCAAAAGAAACAACTCTGACAATGCCTTGATTGCAGATCTCTAACCTTCAGAAAGGTGTGCAAATAAATTTCTGTTGCTTAAACCACCCACTCCATGATACTTTGTCATATCCTAAAAACTGATGCAAATGATAATAAAATTGATCTGCTTCAAATTAGGCAGTCCACTAGTTATAATGAGCAGGGAATCACCAGTCACTTAAGAACTCAGTCCTGTAATGCTCTTCTCTTGCACTTTTAATACATTTTTTTAAAATCCAAAAGGTGCAGGAATGAGCATGCCAAGAAAGTTTAGACCTTTGCCCAAGATTACGTAACACAAAGCAAAGGGGGAAACAAAACTCAGATTCCTAATCCACTTTTCAATTAAAACAAGGCCTGAGAAAGAAACCAAGAAGAACAAACATAGTTCAGAAAGAAACATAACCAGTGTGCATTTATAATTGGATCACTGTGGTACCATAGCAAATATTTGCTAACATACACAGAGACCTGTGAAACAGGGGTAGTTTCAGAGAGGTATTGGAGTGAGGCAGTTAAGAGCATGGACTTTGGACCAGACCCCACAGATATTAAAATACTAGCTCCGCCTCTTACTCGCTATGACTTCTCCCAGCAAATCACTACCCTGTCTGTATCTCAGTTTTATCATCTGTAAAACAGACATATAGGAATATCTACCGCACAGGATTGTAGTGAGGTTCAAATGAGTCAATAAACTGAACCATTTGAAGTTACCATTTTATGGTTCAAAAATGGTCAAATATCAGCAACTTCATATGCTTCAGTAGGAGACATGGAAAGCACTTAGAAGGGTGTCTGGCACCTGGTAAGTGTAATATGAGTGTAATTAACCATTACTACTACAGTCTTAGCACACTAGGCTAGCGTGAATCCGAAGCCCATCCTAAACCACCTATTTGCCTTCTGCAATGTTTGTGAACTTCAAACACCCCTAAGCTCGAACAACGCCCAAGAGTGCTGTCCAGATAGTCAGTCCCTTCTCTTCACCTCTTGGTTGCCCTGCACTTCCACACCCTAAACACTTCCTTCTTTAGGCTCATTCTGCTGCAGGAAGTCAGACGTCTCTGTGAAACAGAAGTAACCACACTGCACCTCAGAGAAGCATGACTCCTTCGGTCTCTACTCCCTACTTTTCTCCAGATGTGGCAGAGTGGTAAAAGATCCAAGATGTCCAGAGGGGAAATCCAGGAGTTGAGATTTTCTAGGATCAGCCACCATCCTGATCATGACCTAAAGTAACTTCAGGTACCACTAGGATCTGGCGCTGATATACACAAAACAACTGAGGCCTGAAAAGGGCACAGTCTGGTCGGGTTCAGAGATCCAGAGTAAAGAAGGAAACACGTTTCCCAACTCTTCTGGACCTCAGTCTGCCCATCTCGAAAATATCCTCTTATTACCTTACCTACCTCCCAATGTCAGGTTCTGAAGGGCTGA